TAGTTTTAAACTTGAAATCTAACTGTACACTTTAAAAAATGTAATTTCTTTTTTTTTATAATATTAGAAAAATAAATTTTTAAACCATTAATTCATTACAAGTTGATAATTTTATTTTATTTATAAGATTATTTATAATAAGAATTATTTTTAATAATAAAACTTTTAAAAATAGAATTGTGAAAATAAATAATGTTCCAATCTCTTTGAATATCCTATTTATAATTCTTAATTAATTATATTTTAAATGTATTTATAACGTTAAAAGAGATTTAAATATTACTTTTATTTATTATTTTTAACACTAGAATCCTAGGATCGTACCAATTTTAAACTTATTAAAATTTCATAAATTAATAAAGATTTTTATTAAATAAATTTAAACTTATTCTGAATAAAATCCACCATATTGGATGTCATTATAAAGTAGATGAAATAAATTCTAATTTTTTCATATAAATCATTATTTAGACAATATTTATGACGTTTAATTAATTGATTTTATATAAAGTCAAACATTTCTTCTAACTTTTAAATGTTGAAATGATATAATATAATTTTATATGGGGTATACAAGGGGCTGTTTGAGTCATGGGATTATTTGGGTCAAGATAAAATTCCTTCTGTACATCTCATACATTTACCTTCAGGGGTTGAAAGGATTTAATAGTGATAATAATTTATCAAATAATTTCTTTGAATTTCTGGATACGTATAGACAAAAATTTCTATTGGGTTCTATATAGAGATAGAGCATGATTTTGATGATCGTTAGCCGCCACTGGTGCAGCTTGGCCTGTATGGCTCTTGCGCCAAAAAACTCCAACCAACCTACCAACCAACCCGTTAGCCGACATATTTGTTATTCTCTGGTTTCGGCTTCAGTCATGTCCTTCTGTATAGCTGAACCTATCAAAAGGGGCTTCGTAGGTCAAAGACTATTTTAAATTGTAGAGTTTTAGCTTAAAATTCAGACAAAATCAAGATGATTCCAGAATTATTGTGTTTCAAATCAATAAAAGCGTGTTCTATAATTTGCTTATAGAAAAAACAATGTAACTAATGAAATAAAATGCAAATTTGTTCACTTTTATCGAATAATGTTTGCACCCAGAAGTTTGTTACATGTTTTCCATATACTAAGCACTACATTACTCACTTGTAAGCTTACGAATCATGCACAAACATTGTATATCATCTTGAGCTTAACCTATAAATTGTAAAGATTATGTAATTTGAGATGCTATTCAAAGACAACATTGATGAAAGGAGATTGAACGTAATGCCAAAGATGTAAACAATGATATCATAAAATATGTGTGGGAGCTGTTAGAAGAAAGCAATTTGTGTGTGGCAAGTGCCTTTAAAATAACAACTTTGTTACTTAGCAATAACATGATATATTATTCTCTTTCATGTTTAATAAGCTGATATATTTGTAACATTTGGCTCATAAATATTCCTAATGCATTGTTTTTTTATCGTTTCATCCATCTTTTAAATGTTACTGCAATAGAATAGAAAGCATAAATGATCCAAGTTGCCCCACGTGTGACCGAAATAGTCCCACATTTTTTCGATGCATATATTGGGATAGACTTAATTTTATATTTTATACAATAAATCACGAAAAAGCCAAGGCTTTTATCTGTTTAAAAACAGAATATATTTTCAGTGGCATGGTCCATAAGAATTTCCAATTGCAAATTATTGAATAAAATTGAATTTTTATTAAGTGCCTAAAATAGCGTACGGACACTTTATATATTGCACTCAGTAGGAAACACCCCACCACCAGTGGTCGAATGGATAAACCCATTGAGCAATGACAATTGGTCGTAGGTTCGCACCTGACCAACGAACTGGCCTCGTGTAGTTTTCCGAATTTTTTTCGCATATCTAACACTTGTAATATGAGCCAATATCTCATAGAAAGTCCTCCCGAGAGGCACTCTCTTTGGCAGATTGCCCATGTATTGTGTTGCCTTATCCCATCAATCCAATTCAATCACTCTTGACATAAGTTATTAATTTTCTAACAATAAAATTCACACGAAATAATTCTATATTTAATTTTATATACTTAAATAAAAGCGAATATTTTCTAATTCTGTACAATTAAATTAATTCTAATTTGAATGGATTAACATGTAAGAAGAATTCATAAATTAACAATTATCATGAACAAAGATTTGCTTTTACTGATGGATTCAGCAATCGATTCATTAATTAATATTAAAAAATACCTTCTTAAAAGGTTTTCATATCTGGTTTC